AAGAAGAAGAAGAAGAAGAAGAAGAAGAAGAAGAAGAAGCAATCACTGGAACTTCAACAGCAATCACCCGATCAGTCACAAACGCAGCTGCGTAAGAATGCTATACCGGCGCGTTGAGACGCATTGCAGCTAAGTGGAGGACAAAATTACTGAATTACAATATATTCCACGGGTACTGAGAGCGAATGGATACCCGCGCAATTTTGTCAACCAATGCATATGCAGACGAGAGAATAAACCACATCCAACTGGCTCAAAAGTTTGGCAGGCTCTCCCGTACATGAAGAATGTATCGGAAGCAGTCAGCCGCCTGCTCACCCCACTTGGAGTTGGAGTTGTGCGCAGGCCAGAAGCAACCATCAGACGCCGGGTCATGAGACTGACACACCCACTGCCGTGACTGGAGTCGTTTACCGGATCTGGTGCATTAGGGGACAAGGCAACTACGTCGGAGAAACCGGGAGATTACTCCGGAAGAGAATGACCGAGCAGGCAGCGGCGGTGGGAAAGACGCTAACTCTCAGGTAGCAGCTCACATGAAGGGACCCGGCCATATTTTCAAGTTCAACGAGGTCAAACTTCTTGCCAGATGTGACAACCGCGTGAGCCGCGAGCTGCTTCAGTCAAGCTTCTCAGGCCCACAGTCAATCAACAAGTACAACGAATTGCCGCTACCATACTCCGTACTGCGACATTGGCTGGGCAGGAGAATCAGTCACGTGGAAAGGGCTGGGCCTAGCAACAACTCTGACGTCAGCGAGAATAATTTTTGCGCAATTATTAAGCCCACCTCGAACACGGACAAGGAAATCGCGGCAATTAATGAGTAGAAAGTCGCAAGCAATCACCGCACCAATTAAGACCCCAAGCGGTGGTTACAGGAGTTGATAAATATGGTACGCATGCGGATGACCGCTACGAACTATAAATACCATGCACTCCGTATATTTATCACCCCAATCTGCCCATGCCTCACACTATCCGTTTCAGTGATCGCATCTTCTTCTGAACTGCTTCCTGGAATTCACATATTCGCTCCTATCGGCAATCATTGAACTGATGTAGTTCGATTGGCTACGTTTCGCAAGACGAGCGTTTCGCATTACGAGGTCAGTGCTGGAATAGATTAAATCCGTTAACCAAGATACCAATTTACACTTATTTTCACCTTTATAAAGCATTTTCAGTCTATTGTTGTGCGCTACAACTACTGATGATTGCCCTTAATTAGTAAGAAGAGATCTACAGGGGAAGGGTGAATTAAATGGGCTTACCCGGAGAACTCGGGGAACGTCAAACTTGTCCGACAGTACTTCCGCGTTTCTGTGAACAATCTTGCAGAGGAGGTTGGTCAGTGGACGATTGAAGAGCAGCCAGTCGAGTGGTTTTTCCAAACTCGCTGAGGACTCGCCCAGCTTCCAGAGCATTGAAATGCACATGCCGGCACGCAGGGGACACTTTTTGCCGCCATTTTCCATCTTGGGCGTGAGTTGCAGTTCGTTGGCCTTCTCTTCTTCCTCCTCCGTCGAGGTGCTGGCAGCTTCACCGAAGGAGGAGATGTAGTTGAAGAGGATGAGCCTGGAGGGAGGAAAGCAAATTATCAGTGACCACCTACCGCAGGGGTAAGTAACTGCTGCAATGAGAATATGCTGCAAGACCTATTCGAACTGCAGGTTGAAGCCAATCACACATGCACCCATAACGCTGTAAGCTCGGAGGCATGAGGCCCCCCCCTGTCAAACTGGCTTTAAGACGATTAGAAGATACTTTTTTTCATTAGAATCTTTCCAACTGGAAGTTCGACTTCGCCAAATTGACGACGCATTGGCCATCAAGATTAGAAAAATTGGTCCTATATTGAATCGTATTTCCATCAATTAAATTTATTTACGAAGTGGCCTTTGTTGAACGTGCTGTGTGAATGTATTTGAAGGAAGACCTGATTCGTGCAACAGATGACGGCTTAAACCCCCAATTTTGAGAGCCTCTCCCCACCGATTCTAGAAACAAACATCCTTCTGGTTGCAAAATAAGCGGCCTCAGAAGCCTCTTTCATTGAGATTTAAAGCAAATGAAAAATCAGTTAGCGTGGTTGCCTATACTGCTGATACGCCCACCTAATGAACACACCTAATGAACATCAAATGAGTCTCGCGAAAAACCCAAACCA